TTAATAAAACGCAACAGATTGCAAGAATTGGACCAGCTTGTATTTTTAAGACTGAGGATGTGAGGAGCTGGGCGTGGCTTGGGCAATTTCTTTAGAGACAAAACACAAAACGTCGTGGGAAGAACATAGGGTACCCACCCGGTAGGCAGTTTGGAATGCTTTGGCTTCTCTGTTGTATTCAACCTCTAGTCAATGTATTTGGTCTTGGAGGTGAGATATGTTGGAGAGGAGGGAGATCAGAAAAGTCAAATTTAGGAAGTGGTTCAGGATGAGGGAAATCCAATCGAAAGTAAGGGGGACAGCTGGGTGGAGGGTTATGTAGATTTGGGGATTAACAGGCCATGTGATAAAGCGGCTACCCTGGGTAGTGGTTAAGTTAAGGTGAAAGGGAAGAGGGGTGTGGGGATTTGATGGCAGGGCGCAACCATCCTTTTTGCTAAATAGGAGTTCTCCTCCTGGGGCCTTACCTACTGCTTCTCCTTCCCAACAAACTGTATCAAAGATATTCTGTAATTCCCCAGGGTATAACTTACGGAGACAAAACAACTGTGTGGGTTCCAAGGGCCATAAGGACCACAAGGTTCCGATTTCCACCCAGACGTGTTGAGCAGCGAAATCGTGGGGAGTGGTGATAAAATGGCTAGGTTCGTGGGGTGGCTTGATTTTCCATACCTGCTGGCCGATAACCCAGTCCCATAGGCAGCCTGCCCAGGGTCCTGGCAAAAGTAAGTGCACTGGGGCCCATGTGCCATTGACAGGCCCCGAGGCCTGGAAAACAGGGCCAGCTCTAGTTTTTTTGCCGCCCCAAGCAAAAAAAAAATTTGGCTGCCCCCCACCCCAGCCCTGGGCTCTTCCCCACCCCCACCAGTGCCCACCCGCACCCCCTGCTGCCCCAGCCCTGAGCTCCCCCCCAACATGACCTCCTTGTTCACCACAGCAAACCCCATTTACACTTGCAGTGGGGATCAAACCGTTTCTCCTATTTTTATTTCACTTTAGTATAAATCTCACCCCCGCAACCCCATCTTTAGTGCTCCAAATGCACAGGTAAGGCATAGGGACTAACCCTCCAACCTTGTACCCAGAAAGGGATGGGGAGGTAGTAAAGAGGGTTCAGGCAGAGGAGCGGGTGTGGGGGTGCTTGGGGGCTCTACACTGGCATAGAGGCGGGGTGTGATGTACTCGCGGAGGAGGGTGGAGGAGGAGAGGGGGTATCAGGAAGGTTGTGGGAGAAGAGGTGCAGGGGAGGGAGGAGGTGCGGGAGGAGAGGGCTGGGGGAGGGTACAAGGGGAGAGGTGCGGGTGAAGGGAGAGTACAAGGGGAAGGGATGCGGTGAAGGAGCGATGGGGGGAGGTACAAGTGGAGGGGCTGCGAGCGGGATGAGGCGTGCAAGGGCCAAGAGGGGCAGGTGCTGACAGCTGCTTCCCCAGCCCCCTGCAGGCAGAGCCGAGAGGACAGACCCTGACCCCCAGGTGCCCGAGCCGCGGGGGTCCCCCAGCAGGGCAGTATCCCCCGCTGCCCCGCTCGGAGCCGGGCTCTGCCTCTCCCCGCCCAGGGCAGTCAGCGC